TACACATCATCAAGTACCATTAGAGAAGAACATTCATAGAAAAAAACTCCCATTCACATGCATTTTGAAAAAAGTTACGATTTTTTTTTGGAATTCGAAAAAATGGGCCTGTGGAGTTAATTCTGGCTCAACAAAATATTGTGAGACATACACATCAAGTTCCTTATGAAACGTTAGGAAAATTTAGAGCATTTTCAGCAATTTGGGAATTTTGAGCATTTCCAGAAAGAACCACATACATTCTCAACTTTTTTTCGTTTATGATCGTTCATGCTCGGGGAACGTCTGAAGAATGTTAGATCGCTTATCACTATCAATATTCATGACCTTGAGATGGGAGTTATAATATTTGTTATAGTATTCGGGGTACCCATATCAATTATTTAGGGTTCAAATTTTAGGTTGAGTTTAACCTTGATCGTTCTTGATTAATTTCAATAAGATTGTGTTATAGTTCCATTTTCCATCGATTTAATTTATATAAATCAATGTTAGGACCTGTTTGAGTGGGCAGTAGATAATGAAATGATTTTAAAAATGTTTGCACATGATTATAAAATACCAGTTTGTAAAGTATTAATAATACTGTGAATTCTAGATATCTGCATTGTATACTAAATCAGAAGTGTGTGAAATATGAAAGAAACTCTCCATGTTACAATCAAATCATCAAATGTTATAGTAATTTCTATATCAACACTAAGCTAAAAGATTGGCTAATGTTCCGAAATTCTTCTGTTAATCCTATCTGGGACACAATATTGATGGTAATCAGGTTTTCATTTATAATCATTATTATGTATTTATTGAAATGAAATTGATTTTACCAGAACAGACGAAGAATGTCATGGCCACAGAGAGTGTTAGACCTCGCGTTAGTAAGACCCATTTCTATAAATTTTCAAATAATTCAATTCAGTAGTGATTTATTTATATTGCAGTAGTAATAGGTATCTGAATCAGGTTTCAAAATGCATTTTTTTTTCAATTCGTGCATTTGGGCTCAATGTGTTTTTGGTGTGATTATAAATTGTAAGGATAATTATTAATTCATTGATGTTCAAATTCCCAGTTCAATAATAGTTGCAAGGTGCCTGACCATAGTCCTTAGACCAAAATAAGCTGAACAATGTCCTATTCAAGAGAACTTATCTCATAAACCTGCTCAGATTGAAATTCAAAACGGCTATGCGATTTTGCAAAATGATTCTACATTGACAGTAGGGTTGTAGGTTTATAAAAAGTAAAAAAAAATCGCCTGTCTTAATTAATTCGGCCTGTATTTCTAATTCACTAATGAATAATTATAGAATGATAATAAATAATTTCAATAATTTCGGAGTTAATTCACTTGAAACTTGAAGTTTGCATCTTCTTCAGATATCTTGAAGCAACAAGTAACAACATTCAATTATTGCAAAATCTTCATTAGAAAGATACTTTTCTGACTTTTTCCAATTCTAGCCCTCAGATGATAGGTGGTGTTCTATTGATGATGACGCCATGTAGTGCCTATAGTCGGTTGTAAATATTTATTGCTACTCGATTCCGGTTGCCAAAATGCCTTTGGATATTTCGTTTCAAAGTTCATACAATTTGTTTTCATTGGAAAAAGTTTGAATTAGTTTGTGACTTTTCAAAATGTCATCTGAACGAAATCACTGACTCGATTCATGTGAATTGATTAATATCAATCTGTAATTGAGCGTAGAACTTTGTTTTTTTTGATCATTTTTCTGTTGATGATTTTGTATATCTCTACTTCGAATCTGGGAACCATCTCCCCAGAAGTCGAAACTTGTGCGGTGTTAGGAATAGCACGACCTACAGCTTATAGTGGGTGCCGAGGATCTGCCAGGATTACAACCAAACCAATAATCAGCCACACCGGATTGGAGTCGACAGCACCTCGGCATCGTAATCGGATATCTAGAGAATGTAAGCGCCATAAGACAGCTCGGAACCGCTGTGAAGTTAGCAACTATTTTCCAGCAAAAAATTTTAACCTGGCAGCCAAATCACCGGTGGCGTCGAATTTATTTTCAAATAATCAAATAAACCGGGAACACCATTCAAACAAGTTTAGTCAGGTTGATATTCTACACAAACATTAACAAATAGCTAAAGAACAGCATGTTTTGAGATGATCGATTTGCAGGCCATCTAAGGGGTAGTTGTCAGTGTGACCACCCTTCTGAGTATTGAGAAATTCATAAACACCCCTCAGAATAGTTTAGCCAAGTTTATATTCTGCACAGATATTACCGAGGATATTACTAAACAGGTAAAGAACATCATGTTCTCTTAGGTTCAATTTGCAGGCCGTCTAAGGGGTAGTTACTACCCTATTTTAGTATTGAAATAATTATAAACACCCCTCAGAAAATTTTAGCCAAGTTAATATTCTGCACAGATATTACTAAATAGGTGAAGAACATAATGTTTTAAGATGATCAATTTGTAGGCCGTCTGAAGGGTAGTTACTACCCTTCTAAGTAGTGAATAACATCATAAACACCCCTCAGAAAGGTTTAGCGAAGTTGATGTCCTATACATGAACATACATATAAACATAACATAAATAGATCACGTGATCTTGGATGGCAACAGAAGAATTTTACACTAGTCTAAAGACAGGACGCAATAAATAAACAATTCGGCCCGGGTGCTGAGGTCCCGATGATAATTTGAAAACATTCAAATTTGAATAGCAACAACTGCCTGCAAATTGATCATTTCAGAACATGGTGTTATTTACTTATTGAATGATGTCTGTGTCTCACTTAGAAGGGCACCACTGGCAACTACCCCTCAGACCAGGGGTTCTCAACCAGTGGTTCCATTAACATGGAGCTCATAAAATATCTGGAAAGCTCGGGAATCAATACTGATAGACAATATGGCGTTCGCCACTGATGATCAACTGGAGATTTACTTGCCTACGTCACCCATATATCGCAAGCATCATTAGAAAAACATTGGAAATCTTTAGCTGTGGCCTTGGATATATCAAAGGCATTCGAGCGTATTTGGCACCAAGGACTCCTCCACCAACTACCATCATACAGCTTACCACCTCAGCTATGCCATCTTTCATCGACTTTTCTTTCAGGCAGATCGCTTCATGTGGTGGTGGACGGAGTATCGTCCGATACCATTGCCATCTATTCCGGCTTTCCACAAGGATCAATTTTGGCACCAGCATTGTTCCTACTTCATATCAATGATCTGTTGAGAGCAACCAGTTGCCCAATCCACAGCTCTGCAGACAATAGTACTCTCCATACTGCCTTCTCTTCTAGAATTCCCATTTCTTCCTAGGAAAATTAGAACTTACGACGAAAGCAGAGGTCAGCGCTGTCAAAGACGATCTTGCTGAAATTAAAGCCTGGGGAAACAACAACCTAGTTGAATTCTACGCCTCCAAAACTCGAGCCTTTATTTTCTCTAGAAAGATGGAACTCGGTATGACTGATATAACAATGTCTGGTACAATCATCCCCACCTAGACCACTATATCGATGCTCAGTATTTCCATACTCTTTCTTGTGAAAATCATGTCCGATCTATCGCGGAAGCTGCTTCACAAAAACTTTGTATTCCATGCGAAAATCCACTTCACATCTCAACAGCTTTTCTTGATCTGCAGAGCAGAGATATTCCCAGTTTTAGAATACTGTTCTCACATATGGAGTTCAGCACCCAAACAAACGCTGATGCTCTTAGAATCCATCCAGAGAAGAGTCATCCGCCTGGTGGGTGATGCCACACTCACTCATACTTTGTCTTGCGACCTTTCAGTTTTCTGTAGATACTTCCACAAGAAATGTTCCTCTGTAATCTCTGCTATCATTCCATCGCTAGTAATACCACTCAGATGAACTAGACAGGCTCAGTCAGCGCATCCATTCGTTGTCAATCTCAAAACACTTCACCAAAACTCTTTCGTCTATGGAATGGCAAAGCTTTGGAATTCTTTGCCAATGGAGGTATTGCCAAGAACTTATAAACTCCAAAAGTTAAATAAAATCCAACACCCACCTTCTCTCCCTATCCTCCCTAGGTAGACACGCACGATGTTCTTCAAGCAACATAGGAAATTCGCTCGTGTACTCCAAGAGATAAAAATTGTACCAGCCTCAAAATACTGGAATAACATTCAGCCATATAAAAACAGATGATGAGTAGGTACCTACTAATGGCACTGGCATTGCTGACATAGTATTGTCAGGTTTTGATTAGGTATTCATAAAATATATATAGCATTGACATTGGCATACTAATTAAACTAACTGTAGATGTTTTTGGAACCTACTTTCGTATACTTTCATTTGCTTGCCGGGAGCGCCCCCTGTGCCCCAACACCTAGGATCCGCCACTGATATTGCGTATCTCAATTTTAAGCAATGGTATTTAGTAAATGGTTTTTTATTTTTTTTCTGTACTCTTTGAAGTTATAATCTATACATACAAACTTTTTTGGGATTTTCAGCTTCATTCAATATAACAATTTTTATAGCATCTACTATAAAAACAAAAGTTTTATAGAATATCTCTAAAACCTGAAAAATATAGAACATTACTAACAATCCCAACTTTCTCGTTTTCGTCAATTACATTCTCCAAATTAATATGGAGTGAGAGCATAAATTTAAACCTCGATTAAAACCAAATCGGCGATTGTCAGTTTTTCAAAATAGTTCAGGAACGGCTGACTGTTTTTTTAGTGTTCGACTTGACACATTGAAGGTGTCTAAATTACTTAGGGACACTTGATTGTTTGTAATAATTTTGAATGTAATTCGTGGTATTTGTGTATGAGTTTGAGGCTGAAATGTAGCACTTGAAAAGGTATAACCTTGAGGCATTCATAAATGATTCATTGGTAATTAATGATATAATATTGACTCATCAACATTTCCAACTGTAAACACAATTATTCATAATATTGTTGAGATGATCATTTCAAAATAGTACCAACTTAAGACATTTTTTTTCAGGCTAGTGATTTTACTGATATTTGCGACTGGCCCTCGCTAGGAAATAATGGTACTGCCTCGACTCCTACCACTTCTACTGCTGCTAATGCTGAGGTAAGTGTGCAGTACATAATTTATCTAAGATCAACTTTCGAGTAATTTTGGCTTGGCATACTTTAGGATATTCCATCAGATTTTTTTGAAGGAATTCATAATTCACACAGTTCGTTCATATCTAAAATGACATAGCCATTCTTGCCATATTTTTTGTTTTTCTGGAACATATCCATTTTATAATTCTGAATGGGATCCTATGATGCTTGAGCATGGAATAAATTCGGTATTCCTCCTATTCGCAGAATTTGCAATGCAATTATGTTTTTTGACCTATAACATGTATACCTGGACAAATATTCAATACCTATGAATTTTTTTAATAATCCAATGATACCGGCTCTGATAGGGATACGTCAAACGACTAAGATGATATGGGTGAAACACCATTCTGTTCCTCATTTTAGTATTTTACCTCATGAAAATCTCCTGAGGGTATCTCAGAGGGTACTAAAAATGTCTATTCAAAATAAAAAACAAATCACGTAGATATTCATTAATTTTTTAATTATATGTTTCACAACTTCTAAGAATAGTTTTTTCATCCTCATGAAAGTAAAATTATCTATTACATATTCCTGTTACTAGTTCATACCTTATTAATTCAACTATCAAATGTCGTGGAGATGACTGAGATTTATTCTTTTTTGTATTGCATTCACCCGAAATGGGCCAGTTTCAGTGCAATATATCATTTCAGTATTTCTCTAAATAGCTCCGTATATTTTTTAAAATGATTATTGCAATTCGCGGAATTTCATATTATGAAAAACGCGCGCAAATGCAAGTTGATCGTGAATCCAATACGGTACGAAATGCGTATTGTACAACCCCTTACGTTGGAAGTGGATTCTTGCTATGTGGTAAATAATTGACAAATATGAGATATATGGTGCTTGTCGGTGTATAACGTCATTAATTCCCTCATCCGAGTCTATCCAATGAAAACTCATCTATTCACAACCTTAAAGGTTCAATAGTTCATGGATATTTGTTTATCATTGATTCTAGGTTATAGTTAGAGACACCCATTCGGATTTTATAGTTGAAATATTTCCAATTATTAATGAAACGCTCTTACATTGACACATACACGTTTGGCAAGAATATTTTTCCTACAGAGAACCCGTGTGCATGGACAGCGACGTTGCCATACGCTTGATATCACCTAACACCTCTTTCGAGCGAGTCCATTTTTCGGCCCGACGGAAGGGATTATCGTTTGCCACACGTGCCAGACTCGATTAGGTGGGGCAAGGATGCCCATGAATCGTTGCTCTATAGGATAATCAATCTTGCCAGACGGGTATATGAATATAATGAATGTCTTCTTATATCTAAGGGTAATGGATGGGTGTCTTCTGTGAGAAAAACTGTAAATCGAAAATTTTAGAACTCACCATTTAGAGCGAAAAACATTAAGAGCGTACAATCTGAATAGCGAAACAGTCACAGCGAAGAAAGAAAGAGTGAAATTTTAATGACACTTGTGGCAAGAATCAGAAAATTTTTATACTTTGAGAACCAACGACTCCCGAGGAATCAATGATATGGAAAATAATAATAACTGATTAATTTTATCGAAAATATATCAAATTCTCAACAAAGCTACAACAAAGGTGGTGATGTAGACGAGCCAGCAAACTTCCGTCCAATTTCTCTTATACCCTCTCTCGCAAAAATAATAGAGAAAATAGTAAAAATTAGAATAACAAATTTCTTGAAAAAAAAAAACATAATCTCTCTAAAGCAGTATGGGTTCCAAGAAAATAAAAATACCAGTGACGCTATTTTCTCTTTTCTCCAAGAAGTATACTTGAAAATCAATAGTGGGGAGGCAACAGCAGCAGTATTTTGCGACTTTTCTAAAGCCTTTGACTGCGTGGATCACCAAATACTGCTGGCAAAGCTCCATCACTACGGCTTCAGAGGTGTAGCATACAAATGGATTGAGTCTTACCTAACTGATCGTCATCAAATTGTGAAAACTTCATCTTTTTCAAATATAGCATCGGTGAAGTGTGGTGTACCTCAAGGATCGATACTGGGCCCCACTTTATTCTTATTATATATCAACGATCTGCTTAATATTGACATCTCCGGAAAATTTACTGTGTTTGCGGATGACACTACTATTCTATGGCATGAAAATAATGCAGATGCACTAGAAGAAAAAATCCAAGTAGACATTAAAGTATTAAAAAGTTGGTGTGACTCAAATCGTCTTGCTCTAAATGTAACAAAAACCAACATAATATCCTTCAGGTGTGAAATAATCAATATTGAACTAGATAATGGCCTCATTGAAAGCTGCAATAAGACTAAATTTTTAGGGGTTTTTATCGATAATAAATTGAAATTTGAACAACATGTTTTGAACTTGAATAAGAAATTGGCCTCTGGTTGTTTCGCTGTGAGAACAGTAACAAAGGAACTTGGACCCTCAGCTGCAAAATTAGTCTACCATGCATTGATAGAGTCTCACCTGAGATACGGAATTCCTTTCTGGGGAGTATGTAATAATAACCTCATGCTAAGTATACTGGTACTGCAAAAACGCTCGATTAGATATATGTCCAAAGTTAAAATGCGTGTTTCCTGTAAACCGCTGTTTGTATCGCATAAATTACTAACTGTTATTGCAATCTTCATCCTTGAATCAGTATATCTCATCAAAAAACACATCCATAAATTTAATACTACTCCTTCCTATTACTCTACCCGTAAGCATAACAGTATAAACTTACCAATACCAAGTTCTTCTCTAGTAAAGGATTCACTCATTTATAATGGATGCAAGATGTTCAATCATTTGCCCGACTATATAAGAGATATCACCCACATTGACCATTTTAAAAAAGCTGTCCATTTGCTATTTCAGATCGGCCTTACTATAGTTTGGAGGAATTTTATTCTGATCAATTCTAATTATATGTACCCTTTGCTAATGTAAGAGTCTTTTTAATGTCTGTTTTATATTTTTAGTTTTTTATTTACACTTTTAACTCTACATATGTGCTTTGTCCATAAGAATGTACCTTTTCTTCATGACAATAAAGTATATTTTCTCTCTCTTTCTCTCTCTCTCAAACATATATTTTTTCAAATATTTAATGAATGTTATGACAAACACCTCGAAGAAAGTCCATCTTTCGATCCTGATTGTACTGTTCCAGTAAAAGCCTGAGGCGACATTCATTTCCCTTATTTTTTGTTCTTCATTTCGCCATAATTTTTTTCAAACTGAATGTCTGATGAAAATGTTGTGCGACCTATAATTCTGCACCCTCAAGAAGTCACTATACTCAAATTCGCTCTATATTTTTCGCTCACAACGACGTCCCCCATAAAATCCTTTGCTCAAAATATGAAGATTTAACCCATATCACCTAGATAGAATGTGTCTCCTCTCTGTTACAGGGTGTAATTTTATTTATTATATTAAAAAATTCAAAAATTATTATGTTATTAAGTTTTTTTTTGTTAATATGGATTGCATAATGAATTTAATCCAATGATCCAAAACGTCCACATAATTAATACACATCAAAATCAAAATAATTGTGCAGCTTCATGATCAACTTGAAATCTGACTATATCGCTATGAAGAAAGAGTACGATATTTACGTTGAAAGTATTCGAGAATCGAAAAAATGTGATAAAATGGCAATTCCGCCAGTGGCGTAGAATTTGGGAAGGATCAATCAGTCACTTGTCCCTGTCGTACGCCTCTGGTAGTAGCCAGAAATATCTACACTTCGCGCCAAATAATGATACATCAATCTCCAGTAGCACACAAATATTGTAAAAATATTATAATTACATATTGGCCCAAGCGAGATAAAGATACAATATATTAGTTTCATATTTAATCTTCATTGAAAATATATTATACCAATATGCTGTAAATATATTAGAACTAAAATAGAAGACATATTGATCCATTATACCTGTCATATATTGGTGCAATCACTTTTTTCAATGTGGATCCTAGTTATTATAAGAAATACGAGGTAAGTTACGAGATCGGTTAAATTAGGGCGCATTATTGAAAAAAAAAAACTGAAAATTCGTAATTTTATTTTTTCAAGCGAAAACCAAAAGACGTTTCTGACTGGTACAATCTTAGGGGACTTTTTACAAAGAATCTGAATCTATAATCGAATTTTCCATTGATGCCAAAGTTACAATCCTCGACGTTGGTTTTTCTTATGGGCGCCATAATAGGATTTTCATATTTTCGAAAATTCTTTTATTCCTGATAACAATGATCACACGATTTGATCGTATCCTACATGCTGATCAAAATTGGGAAGAAATATTTTTTGCGAAGAGTGCTTTGGAAAGAACGCCAACAGTTTTGTCTAATAAGCTGAATTTCTACAGTTCAATCAAATATGCGTACAGAACTATTGAATTCTCAAGCATATCTACAAGAATGCCGTTCTTGAATGAAGACAAGTTCAGATTTATTACGCCTCGCATCGAAATGCACAAAATACGTCCGAAACCAGCTCAGAATTATTTTTTATTGCTACATAGGAATTTAGCCGATTATGGTGCATTTCTAGAGCCTAGACGAAGGTACACCGATATAGAAAATGTAAAGGAGATGGCAGTTTTTCAAGCGAGTGAGTGAAATAGAAAAAAAAAAGGCCTAGGAATCGAGTATTTTTCCTCTAGGTTCAAGATAATCGTTCGGTTTCCACACGGGAAGTTGCATCAAATCTTGGCATATCGCATCAAGTGGTGTGGAAGATATTGAACATACACAAATATTGTCCATTCTTATTCACCATCATACACACTGTATATCCTCGAAGAAAAATCAATGATACATGGTGTATTACGAGAGCTATGATTTTTCAAAGTTTCAGATTCATCGATTTATTCGCGAGTTTGAGTAGTCGATTTCGGGAAAAATCTTGGCCGGCAAAATATTGCATGATATAGATCTCATTCACCATCATACACACTGTATATCCTCGAAGAAAAATCAA